TGATAAGATCCCCCTCAGCCTCCTCTTCTCCAAGCTGAACAGACCCAGCTCTCCCAGCCTTTCCTCATATGGAAGGTGCTCCAGGCCCTTCATCATCGTAGTGGCCCTGCGCTGGCCCCTCTCCAGTAGCTCCTTGACCTTGTTGAGCTGAGGAGCCCAGAACTGGACACAGCACTGCAGGTGAGGCCTCACCAGCGCAGAGCGAGGGGGAGGATAACTTCCCTCAACCTGCTGGCTACGGTTTTCTTAATATAACTATGCAATTTTAAAAAGGCTCAAGTAGCCTTAAGTAACTCAAATGACTATCCACTTGCTTAACTGAAAAGCCAGTAAGTTGAACTGCAGTAACAGCATCACATTATTTGAAATGCTTTAAATGCCCATTAATTTTTTCAAAATAAGTGTTTGAGGAATTATTAACTAGTGCCTGATCCTCATTACTTTCCAGCACCAGGAGGCAAAGACTGACATCTGTCAAAGCCTTAGGGCTCTTCAGCTCAAGGAAGGATTAGAGCAGCTCCTTTGTCAGGTCTGGACAGAAAAATCCTTCTTTCACAGTTTAAGTTAAACTTAGTATAGAAAAGAGAATCTGCCTTTGGTTTTGGAGGACAAACTGGCAAACTACCATTTGAGGGAGTTTCATTAAAAACTTCCATCTGCAACTCAGCCCAGTGGGTAGGCAGGCGTCTCAACTGGTCCTCCTTGTGCTAAACTCCAAGGACCGGATAACTTCTGTCAAGTGTCCCAGTGATGGTGCACGACATCACTCCTATACATTCATTTTAATTGCAAAAATATGTTGTCCAAAAATGGCTCTGAGCTGCTGTGCGTTTGTAGTGCACTGGACTCAACCCGTCAGCATACACTCTGTCCTGTACTTCCTTAACTTTCCTGTACTCCCCTTCCAGTAAATATTGACACCTTCCAATTTATCATCCTCGTCAGGAGATGCTTTCGAATAAAAAAGTGACATTAATTTTATATTGAGAAAAAAAAATACTGAGTCAGTTGCATGAACTCTCCTGCAGACTCACCAGGAGGCGACACAGCAGCGATCTGTTAACACGGTATCTGGATAACCTTGGATATTGAAACATTTCCTCTCTGGAAGTTTTGTCCCTAACTCCATCAGTAGTAAAGTAGTAATTTATGAAGCCATGTGCTTATGAGACCAAATTTAACACCAGCATCAGCAAGCGCACAATCACCTACGACGATGGACTTGGCCCTGGCGTACGGGGTGTACCCCCTCAGTGCTGTCTGGGGTGACGCAAGGCTCATTGAGTCGCAGCAGTGACACAGTGTGTTCCAAGGGAAGTATCACAGAACTGAAAACAGGTTAAGACAGATTAGATCTTTCTACTAACACCAGTTTGGTCTTGTAATACCTTTCAGATCTGGGGAAAGTAAGGCAAGCTGAACCTCACTCTCTTGGGGCCCATCAGAAACCGCATCAGTAACATCCACCTCTTTTCCACAGACAGAAAGGTCACGATTTGGTCATACCTATACATTCATTTTCCAGAATGCTAATTACAGGAGAGACCTGCACCTTTCACTATTTTTTTCTAATCCTGTTAGGCAAAATGTTCCAGCCTACAGGAACTTATAAATGGAAGAATTCAGGGCCTTTATATTGTCTTTTACCTTTTCATTGTATAATCTTCCCTTTAACAGTCCAACAGTGTTAAAATCAACAGAGATAGCACTTTCTGTTTCTGAAATGGATTTTTGTACGGATGAGATAAGAGAAAGGTTTCCATCTCCTAGGAAAATGTACAACCCATGTCTGTCTTATGGCATCCTTAGCGGAAAATCTGTTTCTGCTATTTCTAGGAAAAGGTATCTCTTGCTCCGCAATGCCTGTATAGTGAGTTTTCCCCATCTGCTTTGAGTTATTAGCAAGGCTGTGAATCTGTGACTTGCAGTAATTACAGGTGGTTTTTGTGGTTTGTTTGATGTAATTAAGAATTGGAAATACTAAAGCTGTAAGCCCAAGAATTCTAATATTACTATTACAAGGTACTTCATTTGTCCAAAATTTATTCATAATTTTATCATGCCCAACTAACAGCTAAGTTACCTTTTTGGGGTTTTTTTAATGTACCTCAGCCAAGAAAAGTTGTGAATTCTAATGTTTAGCCACCTTACCATTCTTCAGGAATGTCTAGACAATGCTCAGGAAATAAGGTTGGGAAGTTCGTTTCAAAGAGCCACAGAAAAACATCTCTAAGACTGATACCCATCAACAGTAAATTCCATTACTTTTTCTCCAACAGTAAGGGCAGCCCAGGACACCACGTATTTCAGTAATCCCCAACTAAAGCAACTCAGCCATACCTGATCCCTGGCAAGGAGGGACACACATAGTGACCAGCAGATGCACGGCCCCTCTTTTAGAGACCTCTCTTATCTATATATTTTGGTCACATCTACAAAAGCTTGATATACCTCTTTAACTACATTCTAAGAGATGCCTTCATCTCAAATCTAAATGTTAACGCAGAAGCAGCACTTCGAAAATCAACAGAGTAACAAGGGCATTGCACCCAATGTAGTAGCAAAGCCACAATGTATTTAATAACTATCCATTAGTGTTTATTCATGAAGGGCATTAACAAGAATCTCACATGGCAGGATATCCCGCCGTATTTTCCAGCAGTTTAAAACCAATTTGTCTCCATAAATGTAATTTAGCTAGCATATACTAGTGAATCTGGCTTTTCATTTCAAATGACTGAATTCAGAGGACTATTTTGGCAAGACTGGCATTATCTGAAGAAGGATGGACAAACTTTATGCTCGCATTTCAACTTCTCTTCAATTTAGTGTTTTAAGAACGATTAAGCTATTGTTGCCCCAGGTCCCCTTCCAGCACAGACCATCTCTCTCTGCTGAGAGCAGCGACTGAACTGCTCAGTCCAGAGGGAAGGAGCTCACAGCCGGCTCCAGCCCCTTTGGCCTGCAGCTGTAAGAGGAGGTTTGTGACTGGTTTGTGATCTCTGATGCCACAGTGACCAAATTAGTGATCTGAATTGTTGGTGTGAGAACCAGAACAGTTAGATACAACCATTGGAATTACCACAATGGGTTTTTTAACTATGTACTGAATTTTGGTTAGTTTTCATGATAGGAAAAGTGGAGATTATCTGTGTTACGCATACGAAGTCTGAGAAGACCACATTCCACCTCTGTTGGAGGGACTAGATGGCAGGACACAAGCAAGCCAGGAGGTTCCTGGAATGCGTGGATGGCAGCTTCCTTCTCCAACTGACAGAGGAGCCGTATGTTTTAATAATTTGTAGCAGCATCACTTAATGATTTTAGCAGGATACTGGGAATTGATGAATTATAGCTGCATCTGTATGACTTTGTGAGGCCTCAAGCTAGTCATTAAAAAGCTGCAATTTGGGCAATGAAAAAAAAAAACCAAGATCTCAAATTAGTGGATGTTGATGCAGGGTTTCTTTTTTTTAAATGTTTGCCTTGATCTTTGTGCTTCTCTTGTACCATGCACACAATAAATCTAATGATTCATCTTTAGTACCTTCTTGGCATGCTGTGGGCATTAGTTAATGACTGCACAGCTCTTTGAAGATGTTCAGGCTTATTTTATTTTTAATTAATGTTTCCGAGCTATTTTGAGCTTCTCTGATGAAAGGGCTTAAAGCAAGTACAAAATTTCAGGTGGTTACTAGTCCAACATGCAAGAGGGCAAGAAGAGGAAGTAAAATGAGACTATGGGAGAAAGGAAACAGCTCCATTTATCAGGCAGCTGGGCTATGTAGGTAAACAATACTGAAAAAAAGTTTAAAAATTATGAGACAAGCATACTGCTCTGAGAAGTGGCCGGCACTGGGAGCACTCTAGGTTTTCTGCAGACATTCTGAGGCCCATCTCCAAGGAGTGTCAGATACTACAGTTTTATACTACAGCTCTGGCAGTTCATTCCGTCTGATGACTGGTTTTACATGCTGACAACAGACTATTCTTATCTCCTCCCTCCTTGCCCTACATACTCCTGGGACACAGAAGTGGTAGGCAAATCCACAGAGTCCTATTTGCAAGAGTTGTGGATTAGATTCTCATTAAAGTCAGCAGCAAAACTCTTTGGGCCCAATTTTATTTAAAAACAAACAAAAGTCAGCTAGGTGGTAATAGGATTTCACAAGATTTGTAATGATGTGGGTAATGCAGTTTTATGGGAGTTCAGTTCATTCCAATCTACTGCAAGATGAAGTCCAGGCCTTTGAAATAAGTTTCTGTTTGTAGTGTTCTATTTTCACTGACTCTTTCTCAGTGGATAATAATGGCTAAAAACCAAAGGAAATTGGGAGCTGCTTTGAAGTCAGCAGGA